TGCTGACCTTTTTTGCCAGGTAAAGGTTGCAAAGTAATCACAAGTTTATCTTTAAACTTTTCGTTGAAATGTCACTTGAATTTGGTTAGCAAAATTAGCTTATGCCAAAGGAAAGCAACAAAAAAAACATTATTTTGTTCACTTTGAAAGGAACGAGAAAAAGTTTAGTTTCAATGTTGTGATGAATTTGAAATGTAAAATAAAGTGTTTCTCTTTCATCATATTCTTGGCCTCATCTTCGACTCTCATTGTTTCCAATCTTGTTCACCTTTCTCACCCAGTTTCAATCTTTTCACCATTTTATTTCAATTTCATTTTCCCCTGAAAAGGCAAAATACAAAATCCCTTTTCAAAGGTAAGAAACAAAACAAAAATTCATTGACTTGCAGACGGAACAGACGAAACATTGAAAATAAGAAGATTGAAATGGCGAGAAAAAGAAACAAAATTTTGCTTCTTTTTTCTTCGTTTTCACCTTTTCTCTCTTCTAAACCTGTCAAATGTTCATCTCATTTTCATCATGAAACCTTTTCTGAATGTTCATCTTCTTTACCATCTTTTACTGTCAATTTGAGGTTCAATTTGACAAACTTTAATGTAAAGAGAAATGAGGAAAAAAGGAAAACTTTTTTACCTTAAATGTTGTCCAACAGTCAACCAATCAATCTTGTTCCTCGTTGACCTGTTAACAATTTCTTGACCATTGGCTATTAGGTAACTCAATCTTGTCGGCTTATTTTGTTCCATCAACAATATCTCAACCTTGTTTATATCAATTATTATATTAAATCTCTAATTGGTAAAACCATGAAACTTTATTCAGTAAACAATTTTCTTCTTCACTTTTCCTTTTCTTTTACCTATTCTTTGGCTTTTCTCGTTTCTTTCATTTTGTCTCGTTGTTTCTTCCAACCTTTTCATGATTGTCTTGAAACAAAATTATCATTATTTCTGTTTTATTAACTTTTCGGTAAAACATTAAATCTTGTTCTGATTATGTGTCCAGAATATAATGAAACTTTTCCCTGATAATTTAAACCATTAAGGCCAGTTGCCCATTATCATTAGCAACAGTCAGGATGAACCAGATAATGCATGATAATAACTTGAAGTGAAACATTAATTGAAATTTTCTCATTTTGTTCACTTCGCGTAACTCAAGATAAGTAACCTTTTGGATTGACGAAAACATTGTTTCAAGTTGGACAAAATATTCATTGTGTTCAACTTGATATCCAAGAGAAATGATAAGTTCATTTCAAGAGTTTTTCACTTCGAAAAGCTGATCCAAAAGTTGCCGATCAACTCAGCATTAAACTCCAAAAGCAGCAAATTTAAAACACTTTGAGTCTTGAGATGAGCAAAGATGTTAAACATTTGACTTGGCATTTGAAGAGAAGCAAAAGACTGGATCGTTTTCAATGTAAACATTAATTGCAACGAAAACCTGTTAACTCTATATTTAAATACTTTGCTGTAAAAGATTTGAAAATTGAGTGTTGAAGTTAAAAGACACTCAGCCTTTTGAAAGTTCGATAATCAATCATGGTCAAGTTTACTCGTTGAAGGCATTTTCTTCCATCATCAATGAATGGAGTGAAAAATTTGTGGAAATTAATCAAACGAGAAAAAAAATACTTTACGAACTAAACATTTGTAATTGCTAATGATTGACTCGAATCTCTTTTAAACGCAAAAACTCACATTATCATGATAAACATGAAAAGTTGAACCAATTCTCCATGAATAATGATTAATGGGTAAAGTAAATTTTATTCAGTTTATCATTTAAAACAAAAGAAACATTTCATGGTTTGTTGACAAATAGACGAAAAGGGAAACTCGAGAAATCAATTCCAATTGAACTTGATTCGACATAAAAATGAAAACATTGAATGACAAAAAAAGTAAAGTAATTTGAATCTCAACACAATTGTGACAATGAAAAGGCAAAAACCAAGTAAACAGAAAGCAAAATTCAAAGGTTGACGAAAACTCAACTTGGAACAACATGAAACTTTGACATTGGATCAACATTATCTCAATGTTAGGGAATAATAACGATAATGAATAAACAAATGAAGAAATGCATCAATAATACAAATTGCTTTCGACAAACGAAATGGTAAAAAAGAGTTCGAAAAAGTTGAACAGAGAAAAAGGAAAACATGAAATTTTGGAAACATTGAATTCGCTAAAGAAAGAAATATTTTCCAAAAACTGTGCCATTTGGTCAAAGAAAATAATTGCCCTTGAATATACCCTTGAGAGTTGGATGAAGTTGATGTTCAATTCACTGAACTTTCAATACCTTTAGGGTCAATAATTACACAATCCTTGTATCATGACACGATATCACAATGAACAATGTTATTAGATTCAGTCTGACTTATCATCTTTCACTTCTTACACATTTTACTTTCTCATTCTGAATGTTGTTCCGTTTTCCGGTTTCCGTTTTCATTCATTCTCATTGATTTTCCTTGTTGACGAAAATTCTTCTTCTTCTCCTTTTTCCCTCTTAATGCTTCTAATTATGACACAATTACATTGATTTACAGTTTCCATTGTAATGATACATTAAACAAGACCGAACATTTAATCAACTTTCAACAATTCATTTAAATTTATCTGTTAAAAGATTTCGTTGAAAGGTTGACGAAAAAACGAACGAAAAAAAAGCAAATTCTCTTTTCAAACATTTCCGATCAATATCGATCTAATCATCCAAATTTTGGGTCAAAAATTCAATTTGAAAATTCCATTAATCATTGCATTTTCCTTTAGCTATTTGTCTTGATTTTGCCTTTTCTCATGTCCAGCTTTTCGTGGCGAAAAAAAGTGGACAAAAAAGTTGTCCATTTTGCTTGACATGATATTTGCTGATAATATTTTGAATTTGGATGATTAATGATGTACAAATGAAACTCGATGATAACATTGTTTACCATGAAATGAACATAGAATCGGTCAGAGAACAAGTTTCAAATGTGGAAAACTCGATTCTCTTCCAACCAATTATTCCATTTATTAAAATGATAATCGATAAAAGTTCCAACTAATTGAGCAATCAATTGAAGGCCACTTTAATTCATGTTCATCATTTAAATTTCAATCGATAATCAACTTGTTCCAACATGATTATTAAACAATCCAATCAATTCAAGATTCAGTTGTAACCATTTCTCTTGTTTATCATAATCATTATAATCATCATTCTCATCACTATTATCATTATTAATATAAATCAAGATTAATGTTGTCATATTGAATAACTTTGAGTAACATTCAATAACAAGGTTAAATGGTTCTGTTTCAGTTTACATTTTTACTCCTTTTTTTCATCTTTATTCTGATCAACATTAACTGTTTCAACAGAACATGAATTTTCACTGAACTTTGGAACAATCTGTTTATCGAATCTTGAAGAGTTTCATTCCCGTTCTTGGAGTTTAGTCTTAACTCCCAGTTGTTACTCCCAATGCTTTTATCGTCATTTCAGTTTTTCTTGTTCTTCTTGGTAAAGGTCAATGATGATATCTGGAAAAATTAAGCTCAGTTTAAGTAGATATTTTGTCCTCTTAATTTGATCAATTGTATACACATTGTTAGTTAAACAGCAAATGGCACTTTTATTTATTTTCAGTTTCATTTTTACTTGAAACGGGAAACAGGGAAAACTGATAATTCTGTATTTTTGATGATCAAGGAATACACTTTGGATGTAGAACAAATAGAAAACAAAATTAAGCTAATTTATTGTAACAAACACACAAACAGTGAATCACTTTCTTTTTACCTTTTCTTCTCCTTCTTCCATTCCCACTTCTCATCATCTTCACATTTATCCTCCCTTTTCACTTCACTTATAATAAGATATTTTGCTCCAAATTCACGGCTTATATACTATTGACTTTTATATTTATCATTATCTTTATCATCATTATTTCATATTGCTATCCTTTTAATATAACTTTAACAAGTCACTCAGTTTCACTCAACATTGCATTCAGCTTTTGTCTTAGCAAAAAGTAAATGCCTTTTGCTTCCACTCAAAGTCAGCCTTTTGCTCAAGCTAAAAGGTTTAATCATTCAACTTGATTAAACTTCAAATCTTCACCAATTATTTGCATTATTGTTGAAACTTCACCGGTAATTGTAGCCTTTAAACACAGGTTTGGTCAGAGAAAAGAAGTGTAACTGAAAGTGATTAGGAGTGTCTCATCTAGTCGATTGAATGTCACTTAAATGCAGTCTCCATCTGCATCAACTTTGCTCATGGAATCGGTTAAAAGACACTTTCAATCGAGACTGATTTGGATCAGCATTTGTTTTATTTCACTTCTTATTGCTCAGTCCAAGTTTTCTTGCTTCTATTGTAATTGAAACCTTTCAAAAAACGCAAATCATATTGAGTTAGAACATGATTTACTTGAAACAACTTCATTAAGTCATATTTTTCTCGCTAATTTTACTGATTAGAGTTGGTTTGTAAATAAATACTTTAAATTTGAGTTATATGAAGTTAACTTTTGCTATTATAACTTCAAATGCTCAAACTAGACCAGATAGAAGCGAAAGTTGAGAGTTTTCCTGGACTATTAATAAAACTCTTTGTTCTGCTACTCTTGCATTCGGCTGAAGTTGCTAACGAATCTATCGCACAACCAATGGTTATCCTTTAGCTGACTTAAGTCGAGTTGTTTCTAATGAACATTGCATTTTGCTATGCGTTATTAAAGTATTTGCTTCAATAAAAAAGCTTACAAAATATAACTTTACGATTGTCAAATCTTTTCTACTGTAATATTGATCATGGTTATCGAATTTCATTAGAAAACAAGTTTCAGATTTCACTTTTCTACTGAAAATCTATCACTATTTGAATAATATCTTGATTGAATGAATACAAAGATCAATCAAACGTTCAACATTAAATGCAGCTTCAATTGCTTTTCTTTATATTTTTATTCATTCTTTTGTGTCGCTTCTTGTTTCAGGTGTTGGACTGTAAAGAGCCAGTAGCAACGTTAAAGGAAGCAAAAGTGGCCCTTTTTACCCACGAATCGGTTAACCTGTTAGCACGAACCATTCAAGGGACTTATATCAGTGAAGGTGGTGGCTTTGATTATGATCAATCATGGCTTTGTGCAATGTGCTCAATGCCTTCACTGCATAAACGCCATGTAGCCATTGCTCGATTAAAACATCCTGCCAATATGGGACGAAACTCTCACGAGGTTCGTTTCTTTATACTTGTTTTAACGCCAAGCAAGGAAAAGGGAACCAAAAATGCACTGGAAACGGGTCGAACCTTTGCCACCATATTCGCTGACATGGATTTTCGTCAGCGTCTTCTAGAGGTACAATCAGAAGGTGAATTTAAAAGCCTTCTTCTTAAACATGCCCAAGACCTTGCCTCGGAACAAAGTAATCCCGTTAGATCGTTAGGTAACCATCAAAATGATCTTGACTTTGATGAACCTAAATGTCGAATTGCTCAAGGACTTTGTGAAGATTTAAGGAGAAGACTTTCCCATTATATTAGTGATTATATTGATGGTAAGTTTACTCATCATTTCAGCCTTAAATTTCTTCGAATTCGTTGCCAATTAACTCTGTGTTTACCTCAAGAGTTTTAAATAGTTTAATGAAATCAAAGTACAACTTTGGCAAAATCAAATTGAAAACAAATTCATTTTTAGTTGAAAACCAATTGAAATCAAAATGTTGTTACTTTGCTTATAAAAACGGATTCTGGAGCGATTTACGTTTTCATGTAAAGTTTTGTTTGATTTCTGATTAATCTTTGCATTGTTTTCGCAGGTGTTGTTGGACATCAGACAATCCATAAAACAATATCAACAATTTTTTTCCTCTATTTTGCCTGCCTTTTGCCTACAATTGCGTTCGGAGTTTTGAACGACAATAACACAAATGGAAAAATTGGTAAATATTTAGTGTGAAAGGAAAAGTTAGGAATCGTTGTTTAATAATTCTTTTGGTTCCTTTAGGTGATATCCGTAAAGCTATAATTGGTCAAACAGTGGGAGGATTGTCCTTTGGCTTTTTTGGAGGTCAACCTTTGGTTATAATAATGACCACAGCTCCTCTATGCTTGTACATTAAAGTGATATACGGTATTTGTGAAGGTTTTGGACTAAATTTTCACGCTATGTACGCCTGTGTTGGTCTTTGGAATACCTTTTTCCTTGTATTTTATGCTGTTTTTGATGTGAGCAGGCTAATGAAATGGTGTACAAGATCAACCGAAGAGATATTTGCTCTCTTTATCAGCATTGCCTTTGTAGTCGATGCATTCCGTGATGTTTATAAAAGTAAGTAAATAATCATTCATCTAATTGAGTAACATCAACTGTCCATTTCAATAATTCAACCAAATTAAACCAAAAAGTTGATGAAATTATCTCAAATTGGTTAACCCACATCAACTCTTTCACCCACTCATGAAGTTACATTTTCTGGTCAAATTACATTTATAAATGCAAGAAAGTGAAACACTTAAAAAGGAATTGAATTCATGACAAACCAAGAATCATAAATTATTGCTTTTCATAATACAAAACTCAACTTAAACATTGTATCAAACTTCAATTTTCTCCATTCAATTGCTCTTAATTGCTGTTTGATCAAAGCAATTAGCAAAGTTTAGCAAAACCATTATTTATCAACAGATTTTGAGGTTGAATAGATGTTACAATCTCATTCCATAACATATTTTAGATCGTTTCTCGGACTCAACTCAATTGCAACTTACAATTGAGAGAAAACGTTGTTTTAAATTAACTCGCAATCAACTTCAGTGCTTCTTACGTCGTTTTTTATTGGGATCAATGTCTGGCTGTAAATGCAAAAGATGCACATTGAATTGGATAACCTTAATATTAGTGTCAAGCTCATCAGATATTCGTCTTTAAGTAATAACTGAGAAAATAGATTTTACTCAATTTAATGGTTAAACAACACATAAATTTCTATGTCTAATTGTTTGTAACCGATCAAAATGATGCTTAGATGAACTAAGCAATTGCTCGCAATACCTGTCATTTTCATTTCCATTCCCCATCTACGCGCTTCTTCCAGTTTGATCGTACAACTTTTTCATTCTAATTCAATCGAATTGCACAAAATAAAAACATAAATGGCTTTTAGTTTGAAACGAAACTCAATATTTGAACAAACATAACAAATATACTTGAAGTCAACTGAATGCATCAACTCACAAGTGTTTATGCTGAGTGTCGAAGTGAACCATTTCCACTTTGAGTGCATCTTTGCAAGATTGAGAATCAATTCCATGGGTCAGCTATCATTCAGTTTTAGATATTAGTTCTTGCTATTCGGCCTGACATTTGATTGTCAATCTGCACGCTGCCAAAAGATTTTCTACGGCTAATTACAACCAAACGAAACTTGACCATTTCTATCGATTGGTGCTGGTCTGAGACATATCTTTACGATCTTAAATGCTATAAGCACTCAAAAGATGAAATGCTTCATTTCGACACTCAGTATTTGTTGGTTCACCAATTCATTTATTAAACATAATACTTGTAGAATAGCAAAATATTGACTCTTGCATAATGAAATCTACTCAAATGCGAATGTTCAAAGAAAAGGTTAAGGTCAAAGTTGATTCTATTTTGATTCACAGTTGCCTGCAAAATCATCATGAAATGCTTTCCATCTCAACATCTAATAAACTGTCCCTTCAAGTTTCTTAAAATTCAGGGCAACATTTTCCACCACTCAATGATACCTCAGTTTCATGACTTAAGGTGAATAAGAAAAGTTTACTCAAGAGTTGATTCTTTTCACGACCTTATGTTGATCATCATTTCAACTTATTTTGCTATTCCTGAGCTTTTCCTCTTCTCCAAACACGAAATCCTTTTCTTTAGACTTTTTCATCTCACTTTTCCTCTCATCCAAATCTGTAGACTTTCAGATTAGGTGAAACTCATGAAACTCACATTTCACCATCATAAGATATTCCAAGTGAAGCAGTGAAAAAAATTGGAACAAATCTGATAAAAAAGAAAAGAGAAAATTATTCTTGGAAGAAGAAAATATTCAAACATTTTCTTCTCACCAAATGCACTTTAAACCACAAATTGTAAACTCTTTACCCTTGGGCTGATATTGAAACTTGTTATCAATTGTATTATTATTGTTGCCTTTAATATCAACATAATTACCAATGATGATCATTTAATATTGATGTTAATGTTTGATTGAATTTTGATGGAATTCAATTTTACTGAAAAAACTTTTTCTCCTTCCAACAATTCCATCATTCCATTGACTGGGATTGATTTTGCTATTCTATCAAGATCATCATGATCATGATGAAGTGCCTCTAAGCTGAATGTTACTTGGGTGTCAAATGAAATATCAAAAAAGCAACCAACCATTGGTAAATATTATAACAGAATAAAGTTGAATAACTTTTTTTTTCTCAACTTGTACTTATAACCATAATGATCATCAAGTCGACTTATTGAGTTAACACGTTAAGCACTCAAAAGTCACAAGCAACGAATTTAATATTGATTTTATTCTGGCTTGATGTTTCATTTGAATTGAGGCTTAAGTTATTCAAGGAATCGTTTTCTTTCACCATTTTAGCTTTCGACTCTTCAAATGTACACTTGATGATGATGATGAAAGGCGCTTGAAAAACGTTGAAGGTTTCAAGTGGCCAAATCCTTGGTAACATTGAGGTGCAAAGATAAAGATGATGATGATGATAATGATGATGATGGCTTAACATGGAAAAGGATGAATGAAGAATGAATTTTATCTGAAAAAAATGAGCCAAAAGCTAAAAGGGTAACAAACAATTTGATAAATAAATGGTGAAAAAATGTAATGATGATGATGATGAAACAAAAGGTTCCATTATTATTGTACTACAGTCAACTATCATTATCATTATATTTATTATCAACAGTGCTGGGATGTGTGGATGCTATTAGACGATATATTTCACTTGAACAAAAAAAAACACAACAAAAAATCATGACAACATAATCAGTGTTACACTGATATTGTTAATAGATTTGATTCATTTCATCTTATTATCATTATCATCTTTAATGGCATTAAAATTTATTATTTTCCCCATAAATGTTTAACATTATTAGCTTTAATTTGTTTAACCTTTACTTTTCATGTTATTTAATAAACAGTTCAACTTATGTGTTCACTTGCAATGAACCCAGTTGCTTGTGTTTGGGTTAACCGACTGAGTTGAAGGATTAGGTTGGACTTTTGATGCTGTTTAGGGTCATCAGTCTGACTTGCTCGTGAGTCTAGAGTTGAAGCTTTTAAGTGTCAATCTTGTTCTGACTTTGGTTGGTGTGGGTTGGTTTTGAATGATAATTGAATAATGGGAAATGAATATCATTTTGAGGGATTTCATCGACTGTTTTGGTGTATATTGAGTGGTTTAATTTCATTTCATTTGTACTCTTTTTTACAGATTTCAATAAAAATTACTATTCGCCAAAATGTTTGGAACCTAAGCAAGATTTTATATCGCTGTTGACAAACAATTTTACAAATGAGACAAGCGAAACCATTGATATTAGTGATGGTGAATGCCGCAGAGATGCTACTTTACTTTTCTTACTTTTAATGCTGGGAACTGTTTGGGTTGCTGTTTCATTGTATAACTTTAATAAAACGTAAGTTTAACTTTTCATCAAAACCTAATTTCATCTCTTTTAGCACTGGAAAGTCGAAGCTTTCAACATTTTTCTTGTCATTTCCAAGCTTTTGAGACGAGAAGCTTTCGAAAGCTGAACAATATTCAGCATTTCTTCGGAAATTTACTTTTCTATTAAACTATGGGACGATTCCGATGAATATAATAATTTTATTGAGTTTTGCAAATCGTTAGATGCTTCAATCTGATTGACCAATTGACTGATTAATTATGATCTTTAGGTTTAAAGTTTTGTTTAACAATTAATGAACCAAAGCGATGTTAATAATCATCCGAACAATAATTGTTGGTTCTTCACTTTTAGATTGTTTAATTGTTAGCTGTTAATTTAAAGTTAATGATGTTTATTTTTTTCCAATTTGATTAAATAATTGCAACGTATTGTTTAACCTTTTGTTTTTGGCTTGTGACTGAATGTCATGACTAAATACACTTGCAAATGAATAACTTAATGGCTTTTAATGTTATGAATGATAATTAATTTTCATACTTTAATTCAACAAATCCAAGTCAACTGTAAATGTTTTTATTGTTTACAAGAATCCATTCTGATTCCAGGCTTTAGTTTGATCTTTTACATTTGCTTTCAATTAGATTGGTTGGTTGAACAGATGAAATTGTTACTGAAAAGAGTAAAATGAATATCAATGAACAATTTGAACAATCAATAAATTGTGAGTAAAGATGATCACAAGATGAAGAAGGGTTTAATTGTATTGAATGAAACATTAATTGCAGTTAATAACAATTAACAATTAGTAATCATGAGCTTGTTGCTTTATAATCACATTAATTGAGATTAAACATCAACTTTTTTCTTTCGTTTCTTCACTTTTTTTCTCTCCTCTTTTTGGCCTTTCCTCGCTTCACTGGTTCATTTATATATGACAACAATTAATTAATAGTTAACCATTACAATGTTACATGATGCTCATGATAATCATTGGGATCATCATTGATTCTCCTCCTCTTCCAGTGATAGACAAAAATGAGTTGATAATAACAGATGAACAATCCAAAAATGATTGCAGATTAATGAATGGGTAACAAACCATGAAGAAAAACCTCTTTTCATTTCATGTTCAACTTGTTCATAAGCAATCAAGAGTCATCAAGGTACACTAAATAAAGGTATCAATCAATCAGTTAACAAGTTTACTCAATTTTAATTCTCAATTTCATGCTTCATTCCATTACATCATCAACATTGTCAACTCATAACAATATTTTACTCTTTTTCATGGAAACACTTTCCTTCAAAACCTTCAAAAGTGAAAATGTTATAAAATCAAGTCTCAAATCAAACTGTTAAGATATTCAATCCAACTGAAAATCGAAACAACAAAATTGTTCTTATCAAAAGTCCAAAACTTAAAGTTCGATTTGAATCTTTTCTCGTCATTTTTGTGATCGCTTCAACTCCAACTGACTACAGATCAATGGAATCTTGTGAACCTTTTTAAGAGCGTTTTAACTCCAAATAAATTATTGGAATCCTTCGACTTTCGAATCTTTTTAACTCTTTTTTCCGTTCTTTTTCAGGCCATATTTACAAGCAAGTAAACGAGAACTGTTAGCTGATTATGCCCTTCCTTGTGCTGTTATTTTTCTCAGCTTTGTTGGCTCTTATGTATTTAAAGACATTCCAGGTAAGTTGAATCATGGTTGGACAATTGTTTTTGGATCTTGTCTCAACTGTTTTCAAATCACTTCAATTTTTAGGAAACTTTTACTTTTTTCAAGTTTTCTTTTGATTACAATTTAAACTGAAATCTCAGTTAATCCAATGATTTTTGATTCCTTCAATCAATGTCCGTGTTTGTTCATTAAATGATTATCAGTGTTGCTCATTCAATTTAATACGTTCTTTGGTTGGCCTTTTCATGCCTCTTCAACTCTTCACTATTGAACAAGAGAAAAGACAAGAAGATGAAAAATCTGATTGAAGACAAAGATGAATGAACAGGAAATTCTGAAGATGATTACACGCCAGCTCAGCTTATTTTTCTTCTCACTTTTTACTTGTTCATGAAAATCTCTTCACTTGAATGGGAACAAGAACAACTTGGGAATGAAAAATAATTTAACAGAAAAAATTGTTATCATTGAGAATAGCGATGAAGAAGAAGAAGAAGAAAAAAGTAAAATATTATCTTGAAAAAGGGTCAAAAGTAAAGAGAAATGATGATTTTTGGAACAATTTTCGTTTCGAAGAACATTTCGATTCAATTTATCCATTTCACCCTCCCTGTTACAATATATTCATAATTGATGATTGCTGTTAATTTTCATTTATGATCAACTCTAAATGATGTTGAGAGCAACGATTAATGATTTTACAACATTTACACGGATTGACTGAACAGGGAATTGAATTGATTTGAAAAATAATTCATTTATGTTGATAAATGTTGGAAAATATCATTTAGTTGTTGATTGCAAATTGATTAACATTTCTTTTTTTCTTTCATTTTTTTGCTCAATTTTTTTCTTCATTCAATTGGAATTAGTTGAAACATTTAGATACAGCAATACTTTTGAAATTGGAAGAGCTCACATTGAGGAGCTTCCATTATCTGCTGCCTTCGCTGCCATGGGACTTGGGTTTTCACTTTCACTCCTATTTTTTATGGACCAAAACATTGCAGCGGCCATGGTTAACAACCCATGCAATAAGTGAGTAACAATCAAGAGTTAAACACTAATCAACAGTCGACAGCATTTCAAGTTGAATCATTTTGCACGAACAATAGATTTCGAAAAATTAACAAAAATGAAAATTTTTCCATAAATGATTGGAATCGATTGGATTATTCAACTATAAAAGCTTAGAGCAAAAGCTTATTTCGAGGCTAAATTTGTCTATGTTCACTTCCCAATAGCTGTAAGCTTTAGTAAATTGTAGAAAGTGAATTATCGATTAACAATTAAAACAAGTTGAAATTGAGCGTCAATTAATTGATTGTGCGAGTTCGTTAAGCATTGATTTAAATTGAATTTGGTTCAACTTTTGCTCAACTCAACAAGCAACTTGAACAGCTAATAAATCGCTCTTTTACTCATTTACAATTGGAACAACAGTTAACAGTGAATCAATAAATGAGACCAAAAATGTTACAGGAATAAAAGTCATGACAACAATTACTATAAGATTAGGATGTAACTTGGTGTATCCTCAATTTTGGGGTTCCTTTTACATTCTTTTGTGTATATTTGGTCAGCATAAATTATTGTTTGAAGATAAAGAGAGAAAAGAGTTTCTTTTTCCTCTTCATTTTCTTCCTTTTCTCTCGCTCTCTTCATTCCCAGTCTATCGAGACCCTTGAAGGCAAAGTAAGAAAAATTGATTTCTTTTCTTTGGTCACTTGTATTACACTAAACCCAATGACCAGTGTAAGTGCAAGTGTCACAAGCAAAAGGTTATCTTCTTTATAAATTATAATCTGGTTTTGGTGTCAAAAGTTTCAATTGATTAACTTGAAATTAGTCGATTGTCTTTCCATCCATTGTGTAATGAAAAAAAGAGGCTGATGGCTTAAGGTTTGGAAATGAGAATCCACAGGAAACTGAAAATAGCTTGGGTTGACTGGTTTTGACAACAACTGAAAAAAGAAGAGAATCATTAGAACAATTGAAAATCATGGATTTACTTACTTCTCATCATCACCATGATCATCAGTTGAAACAGAGGAATGATGTTGCTGCAAAAATATATGTATAAGGATGTCTTTACATTCACAGTTAAGGCCAACTCAGCAAACTTCATTATCGACTTGATTTTCATCTTTTTTTTACTTCTTCTTTCATGTTCAAGGAATCAATGAAATTTCATGTTCAGTCGCTAGCATTTCTCACCAATCAACTTTAATTATCAATCAAACTGTTTCATTCCTTTTCTGTTCGTCAACATTTCAACCAATCCAATTCCAATGCCTTTCCAAATTCATTTCTCATTACAATCATAAATATTATCATTTGTTTCACTCAACTTGAACAGTTTTTGCTTGAACTTTTACTTCAATTTTTCAATCTCAACTTGATAAGTGAAAAATCACTTGAAACTCCAAAAGTTTCAGTTCCAATCTGAGTTACAAAGTGTTTGCCAACGATTTTGGGGAAACTTCAAATCTTTCAACTTTACAATCGACTTTGAAATTTTTACGATTCGTCTGTTGATTAAGTATTCAACTTGAAACTTGCATTGTCACCGATTGATTTTGGTTTCATTGTTTCTTGTTTGTGTCTTGTCTTTTGGTTTGTCATTCAACTTGTTGTTGATATTTACTTACGTTTGTTTTTTCCTCTTGTTTTCTGTCTCTTTAATTGTTAATGTTTGATTAGATTGAAAAAAGGTTGCGCCTATCATCTTGATTTATTTGTTGTTGGAGTCCTTAATGGTTTCCTATCCCTTTATGGATTCCCATGGATGCATGGAGTTCTTCCTCATTCACCTCTTCATGTCAGAAGTCTTGCTGATGTTGAGGAGAGAGTTGATGGAGGACATGTTTATGAAATGTAAGTCATAATTAATGTTACAATTAGCATCATTGCAATCAAGAAACTGGTAAATATTGAAATAACTTTTCCATCCATTCAATATATAAAGTGAAAACATGACATTTTTGAGTAAAGCAAAATTTTCATGTTAAGTTCATATTTTTAGCTGAAAAAAACTTCTCTGAAAAATTTTACGATTTTCACCATTCTCTGAATGTTTAATGATTTTACACTTTATCTCATTCAATCAGGATTTGATTAAAATATTTAAATGTTAGAGTTGGAATCGAAGGGAAAAAGTGGAAAATTTACTTTTTTCTTGATTCCATAATTTTGCATTGTTATTACTTTAGATGTAATTGTTAATTTGTAAATATTATTTGTCATTAATAACGATTCTTTTTTCTTTTTTCCAGAATTGTTAAAGTTCGCGAAACTCGTATAACAAGCATAGTTTCTCACATCTTAATCGGTCTTTCGGTATTCCTATTACCCTATCCATTGGCCTACATCCCGACTGCTGTTTTGGATGGTTTGTTTCTTTATATGGCGATAACTGCCCTTTCGGGAAGCCAAATGTTCGAAAGGATAACACTTTTATTCATGGAACAGGTAACAAATTCAAGATTCTTATCATTTAATGTCTTCAGTCTAACAAGCAACCAACAAGTGGTTAAGTGACACTTTAACCCAACTATGAACTCGCTGAAACAATCATATTTGGCTGAAAATATCTTTCATTCCAAATGAAATGAAAATCTACTTGATTCTAGAAAAGTTCTTAAAGGTTGAATCGAAATGGGAGAACCTTTAAAAGTTATTTCACAAAATTCACTCAATGAGATCGAAGGGCGAAATTTGGAAAAATTAAAAGCTCACAGTCTTGACAATCTAATAGGAATTAACTTTGCGACTCTTTGAGCACAAAATTCAAATGACAATCGAATGCAGAATTTCCATCATTTTCTGCTCTGATTGTTCACAATTTAATTTAATCACTAAGCTAAACAAATTATCGAGAAAAAAGCGACTGGAAATATTACACTTTTAGTTGTTGTCAACATTAATGAAGATTGTATCGGAAATGTACACAAATTGTTAATAGCAGACACTTTAGTTTTATCATTAAAAATAAATAGTAAATTGTCATTTGATTGTCAGTGAATTTTGCTTTTCAATAATTGAATACAATTGAACATTAAAATAAAGGGCAAACTAGTTTAGAGGAAGCGAAAGGAGCAACAAAAAAAAGATGAGGATAAAGATGCGGGAAAATAGGAAAAGATGATGATGATAACAAAGTAAGAATAATAATGATGATGGCGAATCAAAAGGCTTTTAACAGCAATCAATTTGAATTACTTTTTGCTTCAATTACATACTCAAGACAGTAAAGAATCAAATGAATGTTCAGGAATCAGGAGAAATAAAACAAAAGGAAAAACTGAATCAGAGAAACAAAGCGAAAGAAGAAGCAAAAAATCAAAAGTAAAATGATGAAAACTAAAGGAAAACAAAGGGCAAAATATCCAATGGAAAGTGTATCAATGTGATTTACATTAAATTCAATGATTATTCACGGATAAACAACAAGTAAAAGAGCAAAGGCATGATTGGCCCGGAAACTGAGTCTCTATTTACTCATGCAGTGTTGCTTGTTTTTTTGTGTCTGTCTGTGTGTTTGGATGCAAAAAAGCATCTTCATCCTCAGCATGAAAGTGATCAACAAAATCATTCCTTTCATTGTTTCTTTTTTTCAACTTTTTCCTTTTTCTATCTGTAAATTGATTGAATAAATTAGGTAACCGCTAACATGGTGATGCTGTTGGTAATGATGAGTGTAATGTTTCTTGTCTCACTTTGCTTTATCATTGAAAGTTTCAACCTTTTCAGAGAATATCTTATTCTGGAAAATATTTTTCTCTTTCACTTGACTCAAGATTCGATTTGATAGATTTTCCTTTTTTCAATTTATAACCAAAATGAAAGGTTATTCAAAGTTGCTCTTTCAATTCAATCCATCGATTGTTTTCCAGAATAATTGGAAAACTCGGATTCGTTACAAAAACTCCAATCAACTTAGTAATTGATTAACTTTCGCTATTTCTCACCATTTAAAGGTCGATCTTAAATGAGATGAAAAGTTGATCAAATTAGAAATCAAATCGAATCAATTTATCAACTAAATAATCAACTAAGATGTCAATTAACCATCAGTTGAAAGACGAAAGCTTAAATTGAATTTGGAAATTGTATCTCAAATGTAAAATTGAAATGAAAACACTTTTTGCTTGAAAACATAAACTCATCAAAGACAAATGAAGACTCGAATTGTAAATTTGTCAATTTAGTCAATTGTCTGGATTTTGATTAAAGACAAATTTACTCTTCTCTAAGGTTGAACCTTAAATTGAGTTGAAAATTAACTGTTGATTGTTTCCTTACAGGCTGCCTATCCACCCAATCATTATATAAGGCGATGTCCTCAACGAAAGATACATTTATTTACATTTTGTCAACTTGTTCAACTTGGTTTGATGTGCTTCTTTGGATTCTCACCTTGGCCCTACATTAAAATGGTCTTCCCAATAGTAATACTTTTGTTATTGCCAGTCAGGTAAATCATTTTGACCATCATCACCTTTTCAACCCTTGATATGATCACTTTATAACAAGTCACTTTAATCATTTAAACACTCAACATAATGAGATATCCATGTGAATATATCAATCTTTTATCAACCATTTCATTGTCGTGTTATTTCACCCTCGCCATTGTTCACTTGCTGGCTTCATGTTGATATGTTTTACGGTTAAATTGAGGTTAAAAAGGTTGCCTTTACTTTTATTACCAACATTTTATTTAGTTTAAATAACTCAACTGATTCTTGCAATTCCGTTAACACTTGTTGTTGTTTTGTGGTTTCATTATTTCACCCTTTTCACGATCAAATTACACGATAAATTAGTTGAAAATAGCAATTATATTTAGTTGTGCCTCTAATGCCTGTGAATATGTTTGTTATTAAGTAATTATTTTTTAGCCTTTCTGGCTTCACCTATGTAATAGTATCATTAACAATTGGGAATTGAAGATTAGTTAATGTTATCATCAACCTGTAAACCATGTAAGGATTGTTTCAATGATAAGTTTAGACTTGATCAGGGAATTGATTGTTTAATTGGATTCAGGAAAACATGGAATCCTTTTCCTTTTCTATTATTCATTACGAGTAACAATTACAACTCTTTCCATCATTTTCAATCATTTTTCATCAATTTGCTTAAATGGATTATAATTAAGGGTAAAATTTGCCATTTTTTTGTGCAATCCTCTTAACAAGTAAGTTTAGTGTTTCCGTAAACACAATTAACTTTACATGGTTTAGTATTTAGTTGACTAGTTGATTGAATCAACCTAACTGAATCAAGTCCATCTGTTGAACATGAAACTCTCATAAATGGATCTTAATGAGGTTAAATTGTTGCCACAGTTTATCAAACAACCAATATTGTTTCAATTATCCTTAACAGTTGAAAATGGGAAACAAGAAACAATCTGAGAATCTGTAATTTGATAGTGAAAATCCGTTGCGAGTGAAACATCAATTAAGAATCACAGTCACTCGATAAGTATCATAATTGATTTGGTCCATTTGTCGAAACTCAAATTTTCATTTTCCCTCTATTTTGGCAGTATTGAGTCAATAGAGATCTCTCATAGTTGCAAGTTTTTTGTCCAAAGTATTGATAGATTTGCAGTTCCAGGTTAACCTCAAATGCTCTTTGGTTAACATAAACTAAACTGAGACTCTAATCCAACCAATTGCTTCTTGATTTACTCCAAAAAGTGTAACCAACAGTCAGTTGTCCGTAGTTTGAACCACTTGCATCAAATAAATTTGGTAAAATGTTGAACATTCCAGTCCATTCTCTCCTTTCGAGAAGCATTTGGTAAGCTTGGGTCATCTTCATGAAAAGCTTCAGCTCTTGAATTTAGCTGGTTTCAAATCAAAATCTTGTTGTAAATAACGTAAAGGTAGAGGTGAACCAAGTTATCCAGTTAAGCTTTGAAAGTCAATCTCTATCAGAGTTGAATCATCTTTAGCAATTGAATCCGTCTTCATTATCAGGACTGTTCCCAATTCAATCATTTTATCTTTATCCATAAGAGTCAGTCTTTGTCCAAAGCATTTTAAAAGAATAATTTCCATAGAATTCGCTGCCAAATTTTGACTGTTGAGAAAATTGAAAATTGTTGATCAGTTCAATGAATCATCTAGTTGATAAGCTATTGGCAGATGAAGTGACTATTGATAAACCCTCAAACCAGTTCTATTGATTGGTAAAATATTTACAATTGATTCTAATCACTAATTTGGTTATTTGATCAACAGGCACAAAATAATAACATACGTAATCGATGCAAAGTACTTGGAGGCATTGGATGGAGAGCATCAATGATGATATTTACTGATGAAATCTGCTCAATCAACACAACCAGAAAACATTGAAACAAATTTTGAACAAAAAAAGACAAAAAACATTATTATTAGCAACTAACCTAGTTACAATAATCAAAAAAGTAATAATTAAATGATGGTAATAAGGCGAACATTTCCAAGGAATCAAAAAGTCAAAGAAAACAGGATTGACCGAAATCTTTTCGTTTTTTTTATTGGATCTTCACTTACCTTTCAACGCAGAAAAAGACGCACATCAAGACACAAGTAACACACAATTAAACAATATATACATGGATACATGAGTGAGGCCATTTGCATCGACAGCGTTGAATACAGCCAATAACAGAACCCAAAAAAAGCCATCAACTTGATCGTCTATTTATATACAAATGAAATTTGTAATACCTCTGGAAATCCGTTGGATAAAGACGTTAACCAAAGCCAAAACAGGTTCACATTAAACACACATTTACAGTTATACAGCGAACAAATCTAAATTAATTTAATTGACAATTAAATGATCGAGAAAGAAGCAAAAAATGGAAAACAAAAAGATAGAGAAAAAAAGTGAAACAAATATACTATAAAAAAATAAAAAACTTACAAGTTACTGTTGATGCAAAGCAATTGCAAATCCAATCCAATGTATGAATCCTTTGAATCCTTGAACCTTTTTCTTTCTCTTTCTCTTTCCAATAACTTTATTGGTAAATTTTTGTGTAAATAAATTAAAATAATTATTAATAGTTTAACTAATTACTACAACAAATACAACAAACAACAACCAATACAATTGTAAATCAATAAGCAGAATATGTTTAGCATTATTTTGGGCACCTTTAACTTCATCTGTTTCTTTCCTTTCAATCTTTCCACCTGATTATTTCTTCTTCAACACTACATTTTTTGAAAGGAAATCAAACCATGGAAATTAGTAAAATAAAGAAACATCAACAATCAAGAAACTACAAATTTTAATTTGTCTTTGCAACAATTTGAAATAAATGGCTTTACCAAAACAAAAGAAACGGTCAAAAGATACAAATTTTTTTAACTGACAAACAAAAGCCAAAAATTAACACATTGTTACAATTTCTAGTTGTTAATTAATGAACAGTCCCCATTTTTTTCTTAATATACGGCAACAGCATTTTTTTCACTGTTGACTGTTTTGATTTACATTAATCATTATGAATATTTTAATTGTTATAAAAACCATTATATATATAAATATTTAATCATTATTATTCATTGTTAAAATCTGCTAGCTGTTATTGTTTGCTGGTGGATGGTGACTTGCTACAACCACGATGATACCTATTACTGAAAAGACAACATCTCTTGTTATTATGTTTAATTGATACTTGTTATTAGCTGTTTAAGTTCTCTTCAAATTAAAAACGACACATTTTTTTCATCCGATTGGTTGTATTTGTACATGTTCAAGATGAGTTTAGTGATGAAAAATTCAATTTGTTCATTGGCTGTTGAACCTTCAAAGCCAAAAAGTGCCCAGAGTAACAGAGTCGTATCATTGTCCATCGATTAATTTCTTGGTTTTATTGGCAATTATTTTCTAAAACATTTTAATACTACAATAACATAAGGAGTTTACAAACATTGAAGATTGAAATTGAAAGTCAAAAATGGATTCTCTAAGCAGTTGAAAGCGTGTATTTTTCCCTCGGAATTCAAAATGATTTGACTTTTTTTAAAATAACTGTTGTTATTTGAGGATCAAGGATTGACCCTAATTTTTAAACTGCAAGATTAGCTTCTAGCTTTCCACTGTTCCCGTTATATTTGCTGCTGTTTTGGTTCAAGCAGGAAAAGTAAAATTATCCATGTTTTTGCTTTCTCGTAATCCTGCAAAGTTCAAAGTGGAATTCAATTGCCTTCAGATTAATTGATTAGCTATTCACACACACATACATGCATAGATAAGCTTGTTGGAAAAGAAAACCAAAATCGTTTAAAATCGCGATGTGCTTTTTTAGCTGTTCTAAGCAATTTAAAATTAAAATGGAAAATTTAAGGCACAGCTTAACAGATTTACTGGAAACAAAAGCCATCAACACATGAAATTGGTATAATGTTTACCTAGAAGAGTGTTAAAATTTGGAATAGATGACGATGATAAGCAAAAAATGATCATGTTTGCAAAATTTTTATTCAACTGGTAAAATTTGCTCATGATATTCGTTTGGCCTTTACGTACATTTGCGATGGATTCAATTTTATTTTCAACCGTCTTTGATTATTGCTTGAATTAATCCAGAGCAATGAGAAATCAAAGATATCTAAATCAGGGTTTGCTGGAGAAATAGTGGAATAGAGAAAATCAAAGTTATCGAGGAGACACCATTTAGATTATATGGAAATAAAAATTCAAATTGTTCTCGTCTGTACTCGAGCCATAATTTAAAAGGTATGTTGATTGCAATGATAATGTCTTTAATTTAATATTGAATATTTTTTCTTCTCCTTTTTTCACTTTTAGTTTATTTACTCACATTTTGGTTCCCTTTTTTTGGCTAAATTGAAATCTTCCAAGGAATGGAAAGAAGCAACTGTGTTGATGAATTACATTTTAAAAAATCATACTCAGCAGATCGAGTAGACAACAATTTGCATCGCCAATTATATTCATATATCAACTAGCTTTTTACGTTTTTTTAAACAATCATCAAAACCAAAATTTTACCCTAAAACCTTGCTGCTACTTCAATTAATGACTCACTAATAATTAGTGAGAGCAAATTTGTTTAAACTAGAAATAACTTTCAAGTTATATTTAACTTTTTAGCTCTTTAATTGTTTATTTGTATAGTGAAGAGGCAAAAAAGGGATAAACCTGAAAGCTAAAATGTTGCTTCTCTTCAATCAAAATCAATTTATCGATTATCACTCAATCAATTATAATTCATTCTGTTTGGGTTCATTTATTTGATTCTTTGAATAAACAAATCTTTTTATGATTGTGAATTTAAAATTTGCTTGAATTTAATTTTGAAAGCTTCAACAGCCTGAGAATAATAATAATTAAATCAGCCGGTTTATCCTTAGCATTATTCCCATTAACGGTTTTGTAAAAAAAACAAGTTTAAACCCCCTTTTTAGTTGCGCTCTAGAACAGTTCTCAAAATTTCCTTCATTTCAAGCATGTTAAAATTGTTGATCGTCAGTTAATTTTCAAAATATATTAGTTAAAAAAATCTAAAAGATGGAATCATCTATTTCTGATCAATTCACAATAGGTTCGGCGGCGTCTTGAAAGCTATTTGCATTCGTGCGAAACGAAGTTTTGTTCCGTTTTTTAAGACACCAGTTTATATCATTGTCTGAAATTCAATTAACTTCATAATTCTAGCAAATATCAGTTCTAATTTGAAGCTGAGGAAAATCAAAAGACGTGAAATGAAGCAAGGGCAAAGTTTAAAATTTTTGAAATGAAAACTTTTATTAAAAGCAACAATGTATAAAAGTGTTTTCTTTCCATGCAATCAATAACAATCAAACGATTCATTAATTTTATCTTTTTCATTGACCTTGTTTTGTATGTAATACACTAGTAGACAGGGTTGAGTTAAGAAAATAGGAGCTTTTTTAGCAGCCATCCAACAAGAAATAAAAGTATGTCAGAGCACCCGGCTTAAGCTAGGTCTCCATCTAGTGATGATGACTTTCAGATATCGAAAGCGCTTAAGATTTATGTAATGGAAGGATTATATAAAATTGTTAAAACAAATGTCAATTTGTAAAAAATCCTAGATAGCGACTGTTAAAATAACATTAGTGACGGAAAGGCAATGGACCTGAATTTATTGAGGAAAAAAGATTGAAAAAAGTTTCGAAGCTATTGAAAAATCTGAAGAAGACTTACTATTAGTATTGTTTCCTTGTGTCATACCAAGTTATTCTGAATCGGCATCGGCTCAGACCACATAACTTTGTACTCCATAATCTACAAGATAATCAGCTGCTTTGAAATGATAAATGCTTCAGTTGATTCGATATATGCTTTCTCGAAATTTTCCATATAAATAGTTACATCGTTGGCATTAGAGCCTAAATTGACGAAGGATTCTCTCACGCCGATTACTAATTGGGAATCAAAAGCTTCTCCATTCCTTTCGGCATGTACAAGTTTCACGGCACTGTCTTGTAACCTGTTTTTAATGTTGGTAAAAATGTTTTCATTCCAACTATTGTACATCTATAAAATGCTATAAAATGAAAAACCATTCAAATTAATATAAAGTAATTACAATTATCACAAAACTTACTTTAAGGGCAATATTCTCTTCATTTATGAGGTTTTAAGTGTTGCTGGATTTGTTTGGATTTGTCATGAGAGGCTGAATGGTAATGGTAAATAATTACACTGTACAAAAAAATTTACTCTAAGCAGCCACATAAGCTTTAAGCAAGGATTGGTCGTCATGGTGGGATAGAACAGTCTGGATAAAACAACACAAAATGTGAAAATTAATGCAAGATTAAAAACTGTCACTCGCTTTGAAAAGTTAAGAAATACTTACAGCTTGAGCCTCTGGGATAAACTCCAGGACATCGCGGGGAAGAGCATCTTGGATGTTTGCTTTAGCTTTCTCATCCCATTGCAGTACATTGTGTACATTCGTAGATATCCTAACTCAAGTTAGAACACCGAAGTGTCATTAACTACTTGTTTAAAAGCCTGTTAAAATAGGAATAATGAGTAAAAGATAAAAAAATTTAGTAGAAGGTTTAAAGGGTTTGGACAAATTTTCGGGGGTAAAAAAGAAATGAGAAATTTACCTTATCACGACCAGTTAAAAACCTGGGGTCATCATTGAAAGCCTCTTTGACAAGAGTGCCGTATTTTGTGAAAAGGATCAATACTTTTTCAACATATTTTTCCGGGTCTTGAGTGATAATTTCAGCTGAGGCTTATATCGGCTAATCCTCGATGAACGATATGTTCTTCGAGGTGATTTAAAATAGGTTCTTCACCTTCTTCAATACGATCAAGCCATCTGAACATGAGATTCAATGCTAAAAAAGATTGAGAATCAAGCATGAATGACGGAAAGGCAGTGAACTTGGATTTATTGAGGGAAAAAAAGATAGAAAAAAGTTTCAGAGCTATTGAGAAATCTGTAGAAGACTTACTATTAGTATTGTTTCCTTGTATCACACCAGACATTCCCAAAGTATAAGATCTTTATTATTCGTCCTAAGTACCCGTACACCCGTATCATTCAGCTAGAAAAATAAGAAAGTAGGTATTGAAAGTCTACAAATTTGAAATTACCAACTTACCGCTGGTACAAGTTTCACGGCACTGTCTTGTAACCTGTGTTTAATGTTGGTAAAAATTTTTTCATTCCAACTATTGTGCATCAACTATAAAATAAAGAAACATTCAAATTAATATAAAGTAATTACAATTATCAAAGAAACTTACTTTACGGACAATATTCTCTTCATTTATGAAGTTTTTAGTGTTGCTGGATTTGTTTGGATTGGTCATGAGAGGTGTGAATGGTAATGGTAAATAATTACATTGTACAAAAAAATTTACTCTAAGCAGCCACATAAGCTTTAAGCAAGGATTGGTCGTCATGGTGGGATAGAACAGTCTGGATAAAACAACACAAAATGTGAAAATTAATGCAAAATTAAAAACTGTCACTCGCTTTGAAAAGTTAAGAAATACTTACAGCTTGAGCCTCTGGGATAAACTCCAGGACATCGCGGGGAAGAGCATCTTGGATGTTTGCTTTAGCTTTCTCATCCCATTGCAGTATAACGTGCATATTCCTAGATATCATGATGAAAAAAATTATTGGCGAAAACAAGTTTCAAATCAACAGAGGACATCTTAGTTGGTGATTAAGAATAGTTAAGAAAATGAAATTTCAAGCAAGAAATAAAGGGAAAAATAAAGAGAGATTGAAACAAGAAAGGAAAAATAACCTACCAAAATAGCTCTTGGCATTTAAGCTTAGACACATCTTCTTGTTGCAGAAGCTTAGAAATTGCTTGCTGCATTGAAGGCCAGTAATCTTCAAATTGTGAAGTTGTCTGAGGAGGAAAATAGAAATAAAATAAAAAAGAATAAATAATACAAATAAAAAAAATTAAATGAAACTTTGATTTAATTAAATAAATGTTTACCTTCGTCATTTTGATGTCAATTTAACAAAAAGACAAAGCAATAAAAACAATAGAAAGAAAGCAAGGAAAGGAAAGGAAAGGAAAAGAAAAAAAGGAAAAAAAGAAAAAAGTCAAAAAGGAAAAAAAGGAAAAAAAGGAAAAAAGGAAAAAATGCTTACCGAAACAGTTCTTGCCATTCAAGCTTAGACACATCTTGTTAATGGAGAAGCTTAGAAATTGCTTGCTGCATTGAAGGCCAGTAATCTTCCAATTGTGGGGTTGGTCAAGAAGGAAACTAGAAGAAAAATAAAAATTAATAATGAATAAATAAAATCTAAAAATCAAATGAAAATTAAATTTATTCAAATGGATGTTTACCTTCGTCCCTTTGATGCCAATTAAACGAAAAAAAAATAAAAAAATAGAAAAATAGAAAAAAACAAGGAAAGCAAGACAAAAAAGGACATGAAAGGAGGAAGAAAGAGAAAGAGAAAGAGAAAGAGAAAGAGAAAGAGAAAGAGAAAGAGAAAGAGAAAGAGAAAGAGAAAGAGAAAGAGACTGAGAAACATAA